TAGATAGATAGATAGATAGATAGATAGATAGATAGATAGATAGATAGATAGATAGATAGATAGATAGATAGATAGATAGAAATCTGTTTGAATGTGTTGCAGTGCATTTAAATACCGGAAGTGCTCTCGCATAATGAGCCTTCTGGCCTTCCGTAGTGTCGTGTGCGTAGCATTTAGCGCGAGTTTTGGTTCGGTCCGCTCTTCTCTTGTTTCGTGATGTGGTTCTTCTGTCCTGTTGCTGTGAATCATATTTTCCCTGTTAACTCGGAACCGTCAGACCGAACCGAGCCTGAGTTCTGGTCGTAAAAAACAGGGGGTTGTCGGCACCGGACCGAACAAACATGGTATATAACCAGGAGGTTTATGTCGCTAACACTCAGGTGGTTGTTGTTCTGTTTAAGCTGGTATGTGTTGTTATGTTTCCAGAGGAGGAGCTTTGCTCCCAGTCAGGTCGCTAAACGGAAGCTGGCTTCGAGTGAAGATGATGAAGACTGCAGACAGAAAACAGTGAGACGTTTTTTTTTTTTTTCATTTGTCACAAGGACCAGCACGGTTGTCGTAATCAATATTGTATTTGCCCGCATTTGCGTTACTGTCTGTTAGCAAAATATGCCATGAGCCAATGGACAAATGTCAGTGAAGCTTCTTACTGGATAAACCTCTATAACTGAATAACTGTTGAAGTCAACCTGATTCAAGATGGCCGCCACAGCTAACTGACTGTAAACACACAATCAAATGTTTACATTCAGGCAGTTTTACAGATATGTGTCTAAAATTAGTTCACAACACAGTCATCGCACAAGGTTATTGTTTTAATTAGGTGTTGTGATCACTGGATGTAGAATAATTTGGTGAACTGAATTGTTCTTGTTTGTGTTTCTGGAACAGGAGAAGAGAAGACATTGTGACGAGGTGAGACAAAGTCAGATGTCTCCCTGTAGAAAACCTCTGAGCCAGCTCAACAACAGGCCTGCAGCTGTGGACACAGACAGACATGTAGGTCCAACCAGTCTCTGAACAGTCTGTCCCTGAATGAAGACACCTCACCTGATAAATGTTTTCCACAGGAAGCCTTCATTCGAAGTATTCTCTCCAAGCCTTTTAAAGTTCCCATTCCCAATTACACAGGTGAGCAGTGTCCTCTGTCCTCTGTCAGTGTGTCCTCTGTCCTCTGTCAGTGTGTCCTCTGTCCTCTGTCAGTGTGTCCTCTGTCCTCTGTCAGTGTGTCCTCTGTCAGTCTGTCTCCTGTCAGTGTGTCCTCTGTCCTCTGTCAGTGTGTCCTCTGTCCTCTGTCAGTGTGTCCTCTGTCTCCTGTCAGTGTGTCTCCTGTCAGTGTGTCCTCTGTCAGTGTGTCCTCTGTCCTCTGTCAGTGTGTCCTCTGTCAGTGTGTCCTCTGTCTCCTGTCAGTGTGTCCTCTGTCTCCTGTCAGTCTGTCTCCTGTCAGAAACAGGTCCCTGTCTTGTTAACCGGTCTCTCACAGGTTGTCTTGGAATCCGAGCTCTGGGTCTGAAGCGGGCCGGAGTAAGGCGAGCGCTCCATGATCCGTTTGCAGAAGACGCCCTGGTTCTTTACGAGCCTCCGGTCCTGAGCTCCCATGAACTGATCAAAGCTGACAAGTAGGTCCAGAACATGTTAAACTGGTTAAATGTTGACAAAGAGCAACCACAGAAAGCATCGTTCATTTTTATTTATCCTGACAATCCCTCAGTACAGAAGCAACCAGCTCTAATGTTTTTACCACTGAAGGCCTCAGTTGGAACAGTTGTGTTACAATCATCATGTTCTTCAAATTGATAGAAACCTTAAACAGAACTTTGATCTCCCTCTCTTTAATTTATCTTTTTTATTATTGGTTTTAGAAACAGATGTTACATATAATAATTTTTAACTTGTATTTTGTGTTTTGCAGAGAAAAGCTTCCAGTTCATGTTGTTGTGGATCCAGTTTTAGGAAAAGTACTTAGACCCCATCAGAGAGAGGTACTTTCATGACTGCCCTTTCAGCTGGCTCAAATAGAAGAAAAGAAAAACAAAACTCACATTTTTCTACATTGTGTAAAACATAAAAACATGCTGAATACGATGATTTGCAAAGCCTTTTTTTAAACTTTATTCATTTGAACTCACTACAAAGACAAGATATATAATGTTCAAACAGATAAACTTTATTGTTTTGTTGCAAATATTCACTTATTTTGAATGTGATGCCTGCAACTCGTTCTGTTTCCGTTCAGTAAAATGCTGTTTTCTTCAGGGGGTGAGGTTTCTGTGGGAGTGTGTGACGGGCAGGCGCATCCCGGGCTCGTACGGCTGCATCATGGCTGATGAGATGGGCCTGGGGAAGACGCTGCAGTGCATCGCCCTCATGTGGACCTTACTGCGGCAGAGCCCCGACGCCAGGCCCGAGATAGACAAGGCCATCGTGGTTTCACCTTCCAGTCTGGTGCGCAACTGGTACAACGAAGTGGGAAAGTGGCTGGGAGGCCGTCTTTCACCAGTGGCTATTGACGGAGGCTCAAAGGAGGAGATCGATAAGCAGCTAGGTAAGATGTTCCTTCGCTTTCTCTGACTTTTACATCATTTGTTGTTCGGAAACTCCCAAAAGGCCTCCTGCCATGTGTTATTATTCATGGAAAGAATCATATTAGTAGATTTAAACTCATCTAACCTCGTCTTATGTAGAGGGACAGAGCTGTAGTTTGTGATAATATGTGTAAAAGTTTAAGAGGGAAAGACTTTTTCACGACTGTAATTCAGTCAGAAAACTTGATCTGACTGACAGAACCGGTATGTTCCGGTTTTACATCTCAAATGAAGCTGTGTCTCAGTTCATGGTTTGTAGCCAATGTCATCACTGCCCTGTGCCGTAGGCTGACCCAATTCGTAGGTACCTACCGACAGAACTTGAAAACGTAGGCTGCATCTGAATACTGCGCAGCTGACTGTTTCCTAGAATTCCTTGTGTCGTCAGCAAATAAAACAGAAAAACAAAGAAGTTTTTTTTTTAATTTTAAGGTTTTTTTTTTGGTTTTTTTGTACGACAGAGTTCACAAATTTATCCTGGACTGAAGAATTTTAAACGTCAATTTAGCAACTCGGCTGAAAGTTTTGCTGCAATAAGATGTTAAATAAAATGCAGATGCATTCATCTCTTGATTGATTGAGCAGACTGATACTGGAGCTAAACGTAAATTTATTAAAGGGATCCCCAATTAGTTGGAACATTAGACTTTATTTGATAAACATTTATTT